TCATGGAGGTTCCAGCTCGGTGGGACTCCGATGTTTGCAGTCCCCGGAAACATCAAGTTTAGCAGATGGCCTGCCAAGGTAAGCTCAGCCCACCCAGAATCCTGAGAAAAGAAATGGCTTTTTAAATTGCAAGTTGCATAACAAGCAGTTGACAATAGATAAACAAAATCCTATTGCATCATGCAAATTCTACACTCTCCTTTGGTGTAGTGGTGCGTGTGTACACACACAGAAAGTTTTCTTTAATGGAAATTGCATGAAGTAGAATTTTCTGATGTTGATATTTGTCAACTATTAAAACTACAGACAATTTAGTGTTTGGGGCAGAAGGAAAGCAAAAGGTCAAGGGGAGTTTTTTGTTGAGAGGACAAATTTGACTATATTTATAGAGCTAAGAGGAAGGAGTGAGTAGGAACAGAGAGTTAAAGGTACAGGAGAGAAGGGAAGTACTTTAGCAAGTCCTTGAGAGAGACAATAATGAATTGGATTAATGACACAAATTGAGATACTGCCTTTGTCCTGAAGGCAGTTAACTTCATTCTGTGAGAGTGGTGGAAATGACGTAAGCAGGAGAGATAATACTTGGCTAAGTCAACCATTTATCTTAAAGTACAATGCTTAAAATAACGTCAACCTGCAGCAAAGCAAAGTAAGTATTACTTCTTGATTTCATGAATTTAACTGGAATAAAAAACATTTTCTCTATTAAAAAAAAATGAAAACAAAAAGAGAAAACCACATCTTAAAAGTGGTAGAATTGCTTTGTCTGCTGAAAATTTCTCAAACTCTAGAATTGACTTCAGTCTGGGCATAGTGGCTCATGCCTGTAATCTCAACACTTTTAGAGGCTAAGGTGGGAGGATTACTTGAGCCTAGGAGTTCAAGACCAGCCTAGACATCTCTTTTTAAGAGATGATGAGATCACCATCTCTTAAAAAAAAATTACTTGGAACATTTATAGAATATGGTAGATAGGTCATTATTTTAGGGCAGTTTACAGTGGTTTACCCAACAGAGCAAAAACTATCTGCTGAGAAAAATTTAGAGCTGACCTAAGTTGTGGGAAAAAGGAGGAAAAACTTCATTTGGAAGCACTTTTTGCTTTAAAATGGTAGTTAAAACAGAACTTCTTTCTGTTGTTTAATTTGTTTGAAAATATTTACTTTTTTAGTCTTAAGTAACCATACTTGACATAACTTACTTTAAAAAAAAAAGGGGGGGTAATGATATCCTAATTTTTGTAAGTTTTATTTTTCTTGGTGAGGATTTAGTCAAAATCAACTTTAAAAAAACTACTCAGGCCAGGTGCGGTGTCTCACACCTGTCATCCCAGCACTTTGGGAGGCTGAGGCGGGTGGATCACTTGAGGTCAGGAGTTCAAGACCAGCCTGGCCAACATAGTGAAACCTCATCTCTAAATACAAAAAGTAGCCAGGCGATGTGCCTGTAGTCCCAGCTACTCGGGAGGCTGAAGCAGGAGAATCTCTTGAACCCAGGATGTGGAGGTTGCAGTGAGCCAAGATCATACCACTGCACTCCAGCCTGGGCAACAGAGGGGAGACTCAGACCATGTCCTCTCCCTCTCACTCCCCTCAAAAAGAGAAGGACATGGCAAATGGCAGTTACAGTGAAGCGACACCCTCAGGAAGGAGGCTTCAAAATCATTTTTTTCAAAGTCTACTGTGTGCCCTATTCTAAGTGCTGAGAAAATAGGAATGGCTAAGACAGACAAAGCTCCTCACCTTGTGGCGCTTACAAATACGAACAGGGAGAAAGGAAAACACCCACGCACATACAGACATGAACATCAGAAGGGAGATGGAAAACAGCAACCATCAGTGTTGCAATCATATGAGAGGGCCTGAGCATGGGGAGAGGAGTGGGGCCTGGGGGGTTGGCAGATTGCCTGGCTGAGGTGGACTTCTCTGAGGCAGGAGTATTTCATCTAAAATGTCAACAATGAGCCAGCCATGAGAAAATCTGGGAGAGGAGCCTGGCAAACAGAAGACACATGCAAATGATGTCACCAGCCTCTGTCACTCTAATGACACAAAATGTACAGAAAGCACTGAGCTACCCATGTGTGCCTATTCGAAATCATATTTCCATGTCCACTCCTTGGGATTTGAGGCGTCTGGTACTAATATGTGTATCTTCTAGGTGTTTACATTGGGAGTTCATTAGAAAATCTGAGGTATAAAAAAATTAAAAACATAGGGGATAAAAAGAGAACAAGAAAAGCAACATTGAAATGCACATAGAATTTAAATTTAAATGCCCCAAAGGAGACGTCTTGAAGCTGTTAGTGCATCCGTCCAGCAAGGACGTTTGCCGTCCCACACAGCAAGAGATTTGTTAGGGAAGATGAAGGTCTTTGCCATCCTACACAGCAAGAGATTTGTTAGGGAAGATGAAAGTCACTCTAACAGAACAGGAAAGCCAGATTTACACACTTATATGTGATCATTTCGAATATAAAAAATTCAGTCTAGAAAATTTTTAAAATAAATTCCTATGTTATTGACATAAACTAAGCATAAGAAACTCGAGTGAAATGATTAGATTTTTTTGTAATGACAGGGTCAGTTCGAGAACTTGCCTTCAGTGATTGATACTTTGGCTGAAATAATTTCAGCTCAAACTCTTTGCATTATGATCATCCTTTCCTAACGTGTATGGAAGGTTCTAAAAGAGTCCCAGGGCCCGCCTGGGTTTTATGGATATTCTAGCCAGTCCAAAGCAGGTGTCCCGTAAACAGGACAACACATACTTTATCCAGACATGAAACGAATGTCATCAAGAGGCCCCGGAACCACCTCTCTGTGATTGAAAGACAGCTCAAGTATACTCTTAAGTGGGCAGAAGATTGGACAGAATTGCAGCTAGTGATCTGAGATACAGAAAGAAGAGAACACTGTCTTCAAATGGGAAACAGCAGTGAGACAAGGGGAAATTGGTGGGAACACTGTGGACCCCTTGGTGGTGACTGAGCAACCCCAAGCTTCTGGAAGATTTGGCAAAACCCAAGCTATCTGAAATAGTAAGAAACTGTTGATTTTTAACCTGTAAATTCTTAGAATTTGGTTTTCCTGAAATGAGTTATTTGCTTTGTGATGCTTATTACTGTGTCGATTATATTTGAGAAAATGAAGAATAATGTGAAAAGTTAAAAAGTAACTTGTGACTTTGGCTCTGCTGAGCTGTCATTGTAAAAACAGGAACTCTGTCTGAAAGACCAACCACATAGCCTGGCTGCCGGAGAGAGAGAACAGCACGTAATAAGCCTCGTTGTAGACAGCCTATAAACGGACACGTAATGGAGAGGCTCATTACCCAGATGCGTTTCCCAGGAAAGGCATATTGATTATGGCCCTGGAAAGGGAATGCAGCCCTTACGGAGGGACATATGAGGCTGTATGTTTGGAAGGAGACCTCTGTGGAGGTAGGATGTAGAAGTCTTTCTTCTCCCACTGCTCCTTGTCGCCTGCATGGGGGCCTCCCCTTCTTGGAGCTTTGTGGTCAGGCTGCTTGCCCTGCGTCAGATCCTGTTCCCCCTGCAGCTGTGAGCCCAGTGTGTTTCTTGCTGATAGTTTAACCTCTGTTCTTGCTAAGGTATATGGTTTTTATGCTAACACACAGAAAGTAACTTTTACATGGTTCTGCTTTTACAATATATTATGATCTTTGGTTAACAGTTTTTACTTATGTTTCTTTTTGTATAATTGTCACTGAAACTTTGTGTAACCTCACTCACCCTCCCCTTCCCCTATTGAAAGAGCTGAATAAAAAACTGAGGTTTTCAGGGGAATGTGAGACATCCACGGAACAGCATTATGTGGTGTCTCCCCTGCGCCCAGCTTTAAGGAAAAATGTTTCCTTGTCATTCTTTTTACTGACCCACTCAATCACTTTGAGAGACATTGAACCCATGTTGATGTATTGGGAGCTGGTCTTGTAATAGAAATGAAAGAGCACATTCCCAGATGGAGCAATTTTATTTCCAAACATGATTCAGAATAGATATATGCTTTGCTACCTCCACACTGGATTTGCATTTTATAAAATATATTTACTATTAAAATCTTTCATAAAGTCTATGTTTCCCTTTGTAGTGGGAAGTAAGCAAAGTCAAAGGTTAAAAGGTCATGCATAAAATATATCCACCAAGATAAATTATATAGTAGTCTTAAATTCTTCACAAATCAGTGATAAAACATTTATACTTCACTATATAGCACTTCAATGTTTTTCATTATATATTAATGTTCATATTTCACAGATAATTTTACAAAATGATTATCATTTTCATAAAATAGGAAAACAAAGCCACAGTACAAAAAAAATCAATCTGCAGAGTGCAAACATTTTTTATAAGAATAAAAACTAAAATAATGAAACTCAAATACTTTATCAGAAACAGTGATTGACCTCTTTTTCCCTTTGCTCCCTTTTCATCTGAGAGAGCCTTTTAGAGATCAGGAATTATTTGTTGTCTGCAATTACTATAGATTTGTTCTCACAATTCTGGGGGAAAAAATGTCATTTTAAGGAACTCTGTGTATGTATGATATTTTCTTTTTCTCAGAGATACGCAACCTCAAAATAAGGTCCAAATATTGGCTCTGTCAAATGGTATCAAAACAATAGTATAGGCCAGGTGCGGTGGCTCACGCCTGTAATCCCAGCACTTTGGGAGGCCGAGGTGGGTGCATCACGAGGTCAGGAAATCAACACCATCCTGGCTAACATGGTGAAACCCCGTCTCTACTAAAAATACAAAAAGTTAGCCAGGCATGATGGCGTGTGCCTGTAGTCCCAGCTACTCGGGAGGCTGAGGCAGGAGAATCACTTGAATATGGGAGGTGAAGGGTGCAGTGAGCCTTGCGCCACTGACTCCAGCCTGGCAACAGAGTGAGACTCCATCTCAAAAAAAAAAGAATAGTATTATATGAGGAGGATAGTTATCATAGAATAGAAACTAAAATCCCAATTTTTTAGGGAAAAAAAAGACCCTCGATGATGTATGTGTCTCGTGTATAAGGAACTATGACCTACCAAGAAACCACTACATAAGAAGAGGCAAATACGATTTGCCAGTCTGACAAAACAGTTGGTATTTATAGCTGGAAGGGATGGAAGAGACCTCAAGGATCACATAATTCAGCTCTTTGATTTTAGAGGGAGGAAAGAAGAGGCCCAGAGATGATAAGTGGCTTGCCTAAGTACATTAGCAAGTTAGTGTCAGTGGTTATTTTTATACACACACAGGCACACAGACATACTGTTGCACTGACTTCTGTTTTGTACACAAAACGCTACTGGCTCATACAATACAATAAGTAGGCAAATTTGTATTTGCTATTTCATAGCTGGAGGTGGGAAATACCCATGCTTCCCAGGAGTGAAATGGTTCTACTTTCTCTCCGTGGTGCACTGTAGCATGACTGGGCTCTATGGCTGCTCTCTGCAGCCCCTAAGAGTAGCATTGGGGAGGAAGGAAGGATGGCAGGAAAGCAGGCAGAGATGCTCAACTCACATCAGCATGGGACTGTCTTGTGTCAAAGATGTTCCCATTGGCAGTGAAGACTTCACATGGAGTTAAGCTTGGCTGTTGAAACTTCCAGACCTGGCTGGAAGGAAATGAGGGATCTAGGCACTGGGTACCAGTGTGAACCCTTCACCCAACATATGAGCTTCTGTTCCTCTGACCCTAAAAAGCAGAGCTGAGCAGTGTGTGCCTTGCCTAAGCTACTTAACTATAAACTTAGATGACTTTACTAGGTGCAGTCATCATTTCTAATTATTTTAACTTGTATATGCATACAAACATGAAAATATTTGCCTATGGAATAGTGGTAGTAATAGCTATTATATGATTTCCACAGAATTATATATGGTTATAATTGCAGGGAAGGTTTTAAAACCCTAAGGTGGTTTTTTAAAAAATACCATTGTTTTTAATATTTATGACAGACATCTTTCTGAAAAACCTTAAGCCTAGCTATGTATACTAACATTAAATAACTTAAAAAAATAAACAGTACATTATATTGTACCAAAATAGCTCCATTTAAAGCCATATAAGTGAAAAAATTGTGTTTTCAAGAATAGACTAGACCTGTTAAAGGTATTTTTCATAATTTTAAACTAATATTAAATGCATTTTTTTGACTATGCCAAATATATACACAGTGCTCTTGTTACCTTATGTCAGAAGTATTTTTACGTGAAATAATAGGTTGTTGTATTTATCTGTTTTTACCTGTTCTATAATGAAAAGTTTACTCTAAATCTAAATAAATTTGGTCCCAAAGATCTCCTCAAGGAGAAAGGGGGACAGCATAACCGAAAAGCAACAAAAACTTAATGCTGTATAGATATCCAGTGCATGCAACTCCATATTTTCTAATAACAGTGGTGGAAAGTAACTTTCAAGTATCACTGTAATCCAGCTGGACTTACAGATAGTTATAAAATGAACACTCTAGAGGAAGAAAGTCCTTTGAGAAACTTGTTCTTTCTAGAAAGCCTTTGCCAAAATTCCCATAGGAAACAAAACCATTCATTCAGAAAGAACAGAGGGTACTTGGTCCTCAGTACTGACCTGAAAGTGCACACATTTAACTAACACTGCTCTGAACTCAAGGTAAACTCTAGCAGAATTGAGGAGTCCACGTTTTCTTAACTTCTTAAAGGTCATTCTACGATCCACAGCTGGAAGAACTGCTTCTGAAAAGAACATCCTGACGGAGGCGGGACCCAAAGCTATTTCCGGTTCCTAGTCCTGCTTTCTGTAGCTCTATGTATGAGTATAGTTGGCTAAAATAACAAGAACAGAGAGACTGGCCCACTCTGGGAACCAAATTCAGATGTTTTTGCGCTTAAGTTAGTTAAATTCATTTTTTAAAATTAGGTTATCACAAAGTCTTCAGTTATGGACTAGAGATTCCATAACTCACAAATAAAGGGGGATGGGAGAAAGAATTAGTCAACTAAAAAGTGCATGTCTTTCCAAAGCAGATACAGGAGGGCAAGAGAGGCTCGAGCCTTCTGGAAGTTTTGCCCCTTTACAGGTTTTGATCCAGCCAGTTGATATAACTATTCCTAGTCCGGATTCCCACTGAGAAGTTGGTGGGCCAGCTGGTGAAAATCATACATCCATGAAAGCCATCCTCAAAGTAATCCAGGGTCACCTCCACACCAGCACTCTCCAAACGCTTGGCATACATGATCCCATCGTCTCTGAGGACATCATGCTCACACGTCAGAATGTAGGTCTTTGGGAGGTCCTGTAGCACCACCTGGTCCGCAATGAGCGGGGCGGAGCGGGCATCCAGCAACTGAGGAAGCTCCCGGACAATCCTGGCATTGCCTGTGGTCTGCACAACAGGCTTGTAATTCTTTACGATGGATGCGGGCAAGAGGGATGTCCAGTTCAGACGGGCCCTGAGGGCAGCAGCCTCTTCCACATCAAGCGAAGTGTGATTGTTAACGATCATTGCCTCGACAAAGTCATAGTTGCCTTTGAAGTAGTCCACCCAATACTTCACCATGACGTAGCGGGGCAGGATTGGGGTGTTCATATTTTGCTGATAAGATGGTGTGTTAAAATCTAAAGCTTGAAGAACTGGATAGATTAAAGCTTGCAGTTTGAGCTTATTTTTTAGGCTGGCATCTTGAGTAAACTAGAGAAGAGGAAGCAAATACAATATCATTTTGCCTGGCTTCTTTTATAGAAACCATACCTGATAGAGTAGCTTAATGTGTTACTTTGAATCTGTCAATGGCCCAAGTGTTACATTTCTACCAGGCACTGTATAAATAACATAGTTTAAAAAATAATTCTCCATCATTACCATCACCACCCTACCAAGCTGCTAGATACTTAACTAAGAAAGGTATGATGTTGGCTGCACGCGGTGGCTCACATCTGTAATCCCAGCACTTTGGGACGCCGAGGCAGGAAGACCATGAGCTCAGGAGTTCAAGACCAGCCTGACCAACATGGTGAAACCCCATCTCTACTAAAAATTCCAAAATTAGCCGAGCATGGTGGTGCATGCCCCTCTAGCCCCAGCTACTCGAGAGGCTAGGCAGAGAATAGCTTGAATCCGGGATACGGAGGTTGCAGTGAGCCACGACTTAGCCACAACTCAGTTTTGAGTGAACCCTATACTTGTATCTATCTTTAGGCACTTAAGACACCTGGGTATTAGGAATGAATAATGTGTGAAAATTATTTAATTTTTCATTCCCTACAAAACCCCAAAAAAGGTCAGGGCTTCCCAGGGAGAAAAAAAAATCAGTTTGACTCTTCCAGAAACGAGAAGCAGAAAAAACTTATTAAACAGATTACGAGACTCCAGAGTGTCTTAGTAGGACCTCAGGCTATGCCTTCTGGTTGGCATCGTCACGCTTGATGAGATGGAATTTAAATAGTTCTGGCAATGCACCCTTCATTCCACTTAATGAGCACATGGCATAGAGTGAAGCTGTCATGGGAACGTGAATGAGTTCCCTGCCTCAACAGATCTCAGTTCTCCCGCGCCTCCTCAGTGTTAATATATTGCCCCATTTTGCAATTTTAGTGTGCAAAATTATATATTTGTTGCATAACATCTAAAAGAAAGCTAACTAGCCACGTCTATGTCTATGTCTTTAGACATAGACAACAAAATGATCTTCAAGGTAACTTTAGCCTTGCCCTTTTGCTTCACAGCTGGACTTTAGAAACCCAACCCAGGGGAGACGCGACTGATCTCCAAAAGCAAGAAGGGTGGTCAGTAAATAGTACTTTGAATATGGGCCCAAAAGCGTATACACATCACCTCACTCAGTCCTTGCCACATCCCTGCAATCAGATGACATTGTCCTCATTTTTCTGAGGCTCAGTAAGGTTAAGGGACTTATCCAGTGCCCCGTTAAGGGTGGGCCCTGGGTTAGATCCCAGCGCTGTCTGGCTTCAAAGCCAAGAATGCTCTCTCCACTGAGCCATGACTTTCTTCTGACCGTATTTGACTGGCAAACTTGCCAGTGCCAAATGGAGGATCAAGTTATTGAATTACAGCAAAAGAGTTAGAAAGCAAGGGACATTATAATTAAAAGGACAGATGCTATTTGAGGACACCAAATGAAATGTGGAGGTGAGAAGGCAAAGATTAGTTATGTCATCCATAACAGGAAGAAGATGTGGTGCTTATCTTTGAGTTTTCAACACTGTCAAAAAAAATTGGGGTGCTATTAGAACTAGACATAGTTTTCAAAGAAGTCAACCAGGTAAAGCTCATAGTAACTTGTAATATTTAAACAGCTGAATGAATTTTTTCTTTTACATTAAAAAAAAGTCGGAGAGGCCCCGCACAGTGGCTCATGCCTATAATCCCAGCATTTTGGGAGGCCGAGGCGGGTGGATCACGAGGCCAGGAGATTGAGACCATTCTGGCTAACATGGTGAAACCTCATCTCTACTAAAAATACAAAAAAATTAGTCAGGTGTGGTAGCTCACGCCTGTAGTCCCAGCTATTCAGGAGGCTGAGGCAGGAGAATTATTTGAATCTGGGAGGTGGAGGTTGCAGTGAGCTGAAATTGTGCCACTGCACTCCAGCCTGGGTGACAGAGCAAGAGTCTCAAAAAAAAAAAGTTGAGGAAACAAATTTTGATGTTGTAATTTGGCTCAAAGTTTTATGGAACAATCTTAGGAATTGGAATTTAAGCAAAAATACTCTATTCTGCAAGTCAAACATGAAAAAGGAGCAGGGGATCCTCACGTTCCACACATAGCCCTGAGAAGCAAGGGATGTCATCAGCCCTTCTCTAACAGTGATTGTGATCAGGGACTTTACAAAGACCCATCGATGACACTTCCTCCACTCACCCGTCTTCCTGCTTCAACAAGATGTCTGAGAGCTCTACAAGTACAATCGCATGAACAACTTGACCACCTAGGGACCCGCTCACCCAACTATGCCTTTGCCGCACGTAAAGGAGAGCGTGTTGGTCTGATGGACCTCACTCATCATGCACCACTCCACCCATCAGCACCTCAGGACAGTGGTGTTACCTGTTGACCAACGGCAGCAGCCAGATTTCCACCAGCACTGTCACCAGAAATGCAAATTCTGCCTGGATCAACCATATACTTCTCTAAGACTTTTGGCTCCAGGAAGTACTTTGTGGCTCGTACAACATCATTAATTTGCTCAGGAAAATAAACCTTTGGAACTAGCCGGTATCTGTAAAAACAAAAGTTGTATTCATTTAAGCTCTTCACCCATTTTTCAGGACAGTTAAAATTTACAGCTAAAAGAAGCACTTCTTTTAAATCTGGAAATAAATAGAAAAGAAATTAATTCAATGAAATTATTGTCTGAAAAAGATAAAATATAAAAATAAACCATTTTCTTGTGAATCAAATACTTAGTTTTAAATGTGATGATTTTGTATCAGTAATAGTACAATTTTTCTTTAAACTATCAGCCATCAAACCAAACCTACTCACCACCAAGAACAACCAAAATAAAACTTCAAAGTAAAAGGCGGACGTTGATTACAAAGACATGGATAGGTAGCACTGTAATAAATTTTAGAGTTTTATTTCTGGAAGTCAGTGTTCCATTCATAATGCCTCTGGGTTAAGAGGACTTGGCAGCATTAGCCACTTCATCGATCTCACATTTAATAAGTCCGTTATTTACTTAATAAAATTATACATCACTGGAGAGGTCCATACCACCCCGACATTAAACCCAAGCAATGCATTCACTGCCCGGAAGACAAAACTAAAAGACCACTTGTTAACCAGCAAAAGGGAAGGGACGCTTTCCAGGCAGCCTAGAGCAGGCCCTCAGGGAGACTTCTGGAGCTCCTCCTACTGGCCCCACTTCGCAAGATCAGAGTCCTTTGGAATCCTACTCGCACACCTAGTAGAATTCATATTCCCTTGAGATTTCCCTTGAAAACCACTCTGGATTTTCACAGGCCCCGCCGTAATATTATCTTACACATCCTCATTGGCAGTCTCGGTCTGGAGCTCCCTCCCACTCCCCACTCTCCTCCTTTGCTGATTGATTCTCACCCATCCTTCAGGCCTTACCTGGGGAGTCTGGCCTTCTCTAGGCAGCCTGCCTTCGTCATATCTCCACTTGCGTTTCGGCTTGACCTGGCTACCATTCCTTGATTTTACTATGTGCTGAGGTATGTCATTCCCTGTTCTTATTGGCTTATATGAAAACTATCTGGTTTTTTTTCTAAATATTGTGTTCTCTGATGTCAGAAACTTTGTTTCATTCATTACTGTTTCCAGTATCAAGCAATGTGAAGGGCATGTAATCATCCAATAAATTTTTTTTGAGTATTAACATACCTTCATTTTGTAAAAGAAGAAACTAAGGCATAGAAAGGTTACTTGTAAAAACTCAAAAACAGACCAAACTTAGGTAGGATAAAAACAAATCACCTAATTAAAACCCAGTAACCGCAAAGACTTAAGACTTTTGATTTCCATCTTATAATTAGCATACTTATTTTCACAAACTAGTTTATCCTAAGCTACTCTAAATAAGAACATTTACTTTCCACCATCTAAAATCCAGCTAGTTGGGCTGGGTGGGGTGGCTCATGCCTGTAATCCCAGCACTATGGGAGGCCGAGGTGGGCAGATCACTTGCGATCAGGAGTTCAAGACCAGCCTGGCCAACATGGTGAAACTGTCTCTACTAAAAGTACAAAAAATGGGCCAGTGTGCAGTGGCTCATGCCTGTAATCCCAGCACTTTGGGAGGCTGAGGTGGGCAGATCACCTGAGGTCAGGAGTTCAAGACCAGCCTGATCAACATTACAAAACCCCATCTCTACTAAAAATTTAAAAAAATAAAAAATAGCCGTGCATGGTGTGGGCACCTGTAATTCAAACTACTCAGGAGGCTGAGGCAGGAGAATTGCTTGAACCTGGGAGGTGGAGGTGGAGGTTGCAGTGAGCCAAGATTGTACCACTGCACTTCAGCCTGGATGACAAAGTGACACTCCGTCTAAAAAAAAAAAAATTAGCCTGGCAAGGTGGTGCGCACCTGTAATCCCAGCTACTTTGGAGGCTGAGGCATGAGAATTGCTTGAACCCAGGAGGTGGAGGCTGCAATGGGCTGAGATCACGCCACTGCATTCCAGTGTGGGAGAAAAAGTGAGACCCTGTCTCAAAAAACATTTGTTTAAATAAAATCCAGATAGGTAATTAAACATCTTGACATTCAGTGTAGACTCAGTCAAATGGACAAATGTTTGTGAAATATGTTGATAAGTAGTGAATGTGGATCTGGTCAGTCAGGAAGTATCACATTTTGAAACTAAATACAGTAAAAAAAAAATTCCTTAGTGTTTGCCATATTGCAGATAAAATAAAATAAACTTCCTAATTTCTTACTTTTCCATCTGGGGTGGTCAATTCATCGTACTTTTTTCCAGTTGATTTTTCACTATGTGTGAAAACTGCTGCTGTATGATTCCATTGAGCAAAAAAGTAGAATTACACAGTTTTGTCCACTAGGTGGCATCATTTCATATTCTATTTACCTCTAGTTCTTATTTGGGGGTGGGGGGGGGTCTCAATTTTAAATCTTCAATATGAACAGGCTGAATTTTTAACTTAATGAAAACAAATGTACTTCATGACTCAAGTTGTAAAAACAAAGGTTATTTCATTTCAGCCATATCCCACATATCACAATAAACTGTTTCCTAAAGCCCAAGTGGTCTGCACCGAGTTCAGTCCAGCCCTGGGGCCCAGAATGCGGACATGCCAGAAAAAAAAAAAAAAAAAAGAAGTCGCACCTATTCGGGAGGCTGAGGCAGGAGAATCGCTTGAACCCGGGAGGTGCAGGTTGCAGTGAGCCTTGATCGGGCCATTGCACTCCAGCCTGGTGACAGAGCAAGACTTCGTCCCCCCAAAAAATAGTGCTGTGAGTTCCAAACATGCTTATAAATAAGTGTGTGAGTTGACCTTCTCATTCTATAGGCTAGATAGAGCAATAATCCTCCAGAATCGAGAGCCTCCAGGCAAGGAGCTGCTGGCTGCAGACAAGCCTCGATTCTAGAAGGTGGAGGTCCAGGAGAACCAAGGGTCCACCATCTTCCTGAAGACTCTCAGAATCATCCACACTCACTTCTGTTTTCCTCAGTTGTCCCTCCATCTGTCTTCGCTCACATTTCATTCCCTCACTGCTCTCTGCCTCCTCCCTCCCCTCCCAAACCCTCACATTACACCACTTTGGTCTTCTATGACCAATCCACTTTTTCTAACGAGGTTCTACTCATCCTTAGGGGTTTGATACTAACAACCACTTTCTTTTTTTCCTTTTTTTAAAAATTACACTTTCTGGGGTACATGTGTAGAACGTGCAGGTCTGTTACTTAGGTATACGCGTGCCATGCTGGTTTGCTGCACCCAACAACCCAGACATTAGGTATTTCTCCTAATGCTCTCCCTCCCCCAGCCCCCTACAGGCCCCAGTATGTGATGTTCCCCTCCCTGTGTCCTGTGTTCTCATTGTTCAACTCCCACTTACGAGTGAGAACACGCAGCAAACACCACTTTTTTAAGACACCTTTTCCGACCCCTTAAACGAGGTAAGGTCTTGCCTGTTAGATGCCTCTGTTTCCACTTGCCCTTCTACTCCCATCACTTATCACACTTTGAACATTCCTTCCTCAAGGTCTTCCTCTTGTAGATGATAAACTCTATCAGGGCAGGAATTAAGTCATTCTTACATTGTCACGTCACCAGAATGTAACATGGTAACTGGCACTAAACAGGAATCCAGTAAATACTTATGGAATAAAAGAAAGAAGAAAGAAGCAAGCCGCTGAGATCCAGCTCTGAACACACTGTTTCTTTTGTTGCTGTTGTTTGCTTCTTTTTGAGACAGGGTCTTGTTGTGTCACCCAGGCTGGAGTGCAGTGGCGCAATCTCAGCTCACTGCAGCCTTGACCTCCCAGGCTCAAGCGATCTTTCCAACTCATCCTCCTGAGTAGCTGGGACTACAGGCATGCGCCACCATGCCTGGCTAATTGTTTAACTTTTTTGTAGCGACAAGGTTTTGCCATATTGCCCAGGCTGGTACTGAACTCCTGGACTCAAGTGATCCACCTGCCTCAGCCTCCCAACGTGTTGGGATTACAGGTGTGTGAGCCACTCCACCTGGCCTGAACATCGTTTCCAAGAGAAACTTCATGATCATATAATGCTGGCTGTACCTCAACTAGAGCATAGGTTACAAAGTGCTCTTGAGTTAGCCTGAATCCTAGCAAGGATTACTATCTCATTATTTCTAGAAAAAAAAAAAAAAAAAAGAGAGAGACAGAAAGAAAAGGCCAGGCATGGTGGCTCACACCTGTAATCCCAGCACTTTGGGAGGCTGAGGCAGGCGGATCATGAGATCAAGAGATTGAGACTATCCTGGCCAACATGGTGAATCCCCATCTCTACCAAAAATACAAAAATTAGCTGGGCAGGTACCTGAAGTCCCAGCTACTCGGGAGGTTGAGGCAGGAGAATCACTTGAACCCGGGTGGTGGAGGTTGCAGTGAGCCAAGATCGCGCCATTGCACTCCAACCTGGTGGCAGAGCAAGACTTCATCCCCCCCCAAAAATAAAAAAGTATTGTGAGTTCCAAACATGCTGATAAATAAATGTGTAAGTTGACCTTTGCATTCTATAGGCTAGCTAGAGCAATAATCCTCCAGAATCGCCTAGTGCTTTTGAGTATCTGAAGCCCTTTTCTATCGATCGTCTTAAATGATTCTCGTGACAACGCTCCGCAGTCATTATCACAACTCAGCATGCATTTCCCTGACATGCACACTCCCAGCCTTGCACTGGGCGCTGGAGATGCAAAGGAAGGAAGACATGGTTTCTGTTTCCAGGAGTTCACATTCTTTTATTTTTGCTTTGTTTTTTAAGAGATGAGTTGCCTAGGCTGGACTCAACTCTTGGCTCAAGCAGTCCTTGTGCCTCAGTCTCCCAAGTAAGGTGCACCACCGTACCTCACTGTTTTCACAGTAGCTCACATTCTAAACACACAGGAAGGGTTCTCAGCCCCATTTTGCACATGAGTTTCAGTGACTTGCCTGAGGTCGCACAGTCGTGAGTGATGGAACTTGACTGCTGTACGCTGAGGCCTCCCATCTGGATACCACGTTGTATAGGTGAGGAACAATGCAAAGGTAAAATCAAAGCAGTCCCTTCTGTGTTTTAGCCCTTCTCCACAAAAGTCTTCTTAAATATATCTTATTCTTCTGTGTCTTATGATAAGCCTGGCAATACCTATTTTACTTGAGACGGATGCTGATAAGGAGAGAAGGGAATGGAACCGTGCAGGGCACGTGGCCATATAGTGATACTGAAGCCCGGAGGGTAACCCTTGGGTTTAATGGCAAATCCGCATGATGCCAGTTGAAGTAGGCCCAGCTTCTCTCTTTTTCTCAGGCCTGCGAGGAGCTGGGGCTACAGAAGAAATCGACCGAATGGGCCCTGAAGCCTGTTCCTCAACACTGAGCCATAGGGCCCTGTCTGCTTAAACCTCCCTGTGCTTTGCTCTGGCCAGCTGCCCAAATCATTTCCCCGAAGGTCCCTGCATTCCCAGACTGCACTGACAACCCTTGAGTAAGCTGGAAGGCCTCGCTGAGAGTCCAGAAAGGCCCAGGTGCGGTGGCCACTTCCTCAGCACATTTGGCTGCAGCTGTCTAGACTCTAGGGCATTCGTCCACAGGGTCAGAACTGCTAAATTACTCTGAATAGACTCTTCCAAGAGTCTGCAGAAGAAAACATCCACTTACATGTGGAGTAGGAGCAAGGAGGTGGGGAGCAATGGACAGGAGGGCACCTGACAGAGGCAGAGGGAAGGAGAGAACTGAATACCACTGGCGCAAGAAAAAGTGGCTGATGTCATGGCCCTGCCACTCAGCATTATAAGCTTCCTTCAGTCGTGGCTTGAGACTGGATCAGAAAGGTCCAGAGACCTTGGGAATTATCTGACCTATTCCCCTACCCCATCGATGCGATGAGCTAGCTATCTGGCCTTATGCACATCACTTAGCTTCTTGGGCCTCAATTTCCTCACTTATGAAGAAGATACCAAAATATCTTGGATGCTTTATATGAGGATTAAAATGCTTTGGCCAGGCGCAATGGCTCACACCTGTAATCCCAGCACTTTGGGAGGCGGAGGCAGGCGGATCACAAGGTCAGGAGATCGAGACAATCCTTGCCAACATGGTGAAACCCTGTCTCTACTAAAATACAAAAAATTAGCCAGGCGTAGTGGCGTGCACCTGCAGTCCCAGCTACTCGGGAGGCTGAGGCAGGAGAATCACTTGAACACAGGAGGTGGAGGTTGCGGTGAGCCAAGATCACACCAATGCACTCCAGCCCGGGCAACAGATCAAGACTCTATCTCAAAAAAAAAAAAAAAAAAGATTCTTCATTTATTCGTTTCATAAATATTTACTGAATGCTTACTATATGCAAGAATGTTTCCAGGCGCTAATGATTCAGCAATGAACAAAACAACAATCCTAAAATGTTTGCCTTTATAAAGTTCATGCTGTCTGTTTCCACTTACTACAATAAACAAATAATAAGTTAAATACATGGTTTGTCGGATACTGATGCTAACTTCGGAGAGACATAAAACAAAGGAAGGTGGGTTGCAGTTTCACAAAGGCTTGTCAAGAAAAGGGTTGGCTGAGAGGACGGTGTCCACACAAAGACCTGAAGTAGAAGAGACACGTGTGCAGAAGTGTTCCTGCAATGTCTGGCAAAGAAAAGGTGGCGTGATTTTTGCGTTAAATTATTATGACCACAATTGTTATAATTATTATTCACCACCTTCTTAGTTGCCCAGAAAAGTGGCTTATACAGAACGGATAGAGACAACTCAAAGTATTAATATTACTGACCATACCATTAAAATATGTTAAACGTGTATTTCTACTCCCAAGGTCCAAGTTGTAGAAGCTGACTCTAAGAGAATAACTTTTTCAACGCTTGGCTGTAGAAAAGATTCTTTTAAAATCCTTACTGCTTTTTCGATTTAAAAAGTTGGTATTAAACTTCTGTGTTGCAGGTAACTGCATGCCTCCCCAGGTTTTTAGTTCATCCTTTTTCCAGAGGTTTACAAAACTAAAGATGAAAATGTAATTTGAAGTGTTTTAAAGCTAGTTCAATAAACTGTTATATCAGAAATCATTTTTCTGATCATGCTGAGTGTGACTTTGGGCAAATCGCTTTGCCACTCTAGAGCTTTATTTTATGCTTTATCACTTGTAAAACAAAGTAACTAGACCGTTATCTAGAATTACTTACTCAATGGAGACAATGACAGCATTCAGCTCCTCAGCCATTGCTGTACACAGCTCATCATAATACCTGATTTCTAAAAGACACAAAGGGAACAATCATTACGAAACAGATCATTTAATACTGTTCATTCTTTTTTGCTTGGTTTCAGATAGAGTTTCACTCTGTCGTCCAGGCTGGAGTGCAGTGGTGTGATCTCGGCTCACTACAATCTCTGCCACCCAGGTTCAAGCAGTTCTGCCTCAGCCTCCCAAGTAGCTGGGATTACAGGCACCTGCCACTGCACCAGGCTAATTTTTGTAGTTTTAGTAGAGACAGAGTTTCACCATCTTGGCCAGGCTGGTCTTGAACTCCTGACCGCGTGATCCACCCGCCTCAGCCTCGCAAAGTGCTGGGATTACAGGCATGAGCTACCGCGCCTGGCCTTGTCCACTTTTAAATTCTGCTATGTGTGAATTGTTTTTAGGCTTCAAGCTAATAATAATAAAAAGCAAATGTGAACAAATGTCTTAATGGAGTTACATGTACACATGAAAAATTAAATCTGATTTCAAATAACATACAACTACTATAAAGAACAGGAAATGCATAGTTTAGTTTTGAATATATTACTCTCTAAATATTTATTTCAAAATAGGCTATATGAAATGCACCAAATTAATCCTGATTTTATGGCTCTTCAAATGTATATAGCTTTTTAAAAAAAATCACAGCATATAAGCAGTCTCTTCCTTAGAATCATACAATTTTGGGCTGGGAGTGGTGGCTCATGCCTGTAATCTCAGCACTTCAGGAGGCTAAGGAAGGAGATCACTTGAAGTCAGAAGTTTGAGACCTGGGCAAAATAGCCAGATGCTGTCTCTGTAAAAAAAGCTTTTTTAATTCCCCAGGCATAGTGGTGCACACCTGCGTTCCCAGCTGCTTGGAAGGCTGAGGAAGGAAGATCACTTGAGCCCAAGAGCTGGAGGCTACAGTGAGCTATGATACTGGTACTGTACTCTGGCCTGGGTGACAAAGTGAAATCTTGTGTCTAAAAATAATAAATAAAATTTTGCTCTTTTAACACTTCATTTACTATAGTTCACTAAAGTGATCAATTAAGAATATGGTGTTCTTTTTAAATGAACACATAGAAAACTAGAATTTTAGGAAATCTTAGCATTTCTTAGCGGATCCAAAGGCCTGCGGTAACAGAACCAATTTTAATACGTAAGAATTTAATCTTTAGTTGCTCTCAATAAATTAAGATATATATTGTGCCAACTGGGAGCCAAATATTTCCTTATTTATAGGCTTTCCAAGGCAGTCTTAGAAGTTTAAGAATTACATGGACACCTGCTCAAGTTCTCCCTCGGGCAGAAGCGATTAGTCAAAATTACAGGGGAGGGTGGGGAGGTCAGGGAGGGATAACATGGGGAGAAACGCCAGATGTAGGTGATGGGGATGGAGGCAGCAAACCACATTGCCATGTATGTACCTATGCAACAATCCTGCATGATCTGCACATGCACCCCAGAACCTAAAGTACAATTAAAAATAAATATATAAAATAAAAATTTAAAAATTACACAGAAAAGGCCAGGTTGACCCTTGCAACCCATTCCGTTCCTGGCCCCCACACTTCCTGTCCCCCAGTACAGCGTTCTTCCTGGCACGTGTCCAATGCCACAGACTCAGTCTCTTCTAAGGCAGAGACTCCTTCTTATTCATTTTTGTATCCCTATCCCTAGCACACATTAGGCTGACCAGTGGTCCAGACTTGCCCACAGCTGTTGGAGCTTTTACGCTGAAATATCTGCAACCCAGCAAACCCCTTGGTGAATAACTGTTGAAAATGTGGTGGGAAAAAATCACCGAATAAAAGAATAAACAATGGATCTGGAATTAAATAAGACTACTAGAAAAAAATTATATCTTTCGAACTTGTTGCTTTAAAAAAGCCACACAATGATAAACAAAACAAGTTGCCATTGCTTTTAAACTAAGAGGATGCCAGAAGCTCTGGAATGAAGATAAGGAAGTAGCTCCATGATCATTATTGGCAGAGATAAGGCCCCGACTTCCTCCTTGGGAGGCTCTCCTCTGGTCTGCTCCATTTGGCTGCCTGCCCTTTTGAATGTGTTCTACTCATGAAAATCATCTAAGTCTACAAAAACATATTCTTGAACTTCACAAGATTGTTTCCTTTTAATGGCTGCATACATTTTATATTTTAACCTTTGCTTTCATAAGCACATAAAATGCTAACATGTGCATTAAGGAATACCTGGTCTATTTCATAGAAATATATCTTCCAAAGACAAGTTGGCCAAAGAGACACAGATAATTCCCCACACGCCTACCCGGTGAAACTTCACCTTGTTTTGATGCAGAGAGCTGTATCAGCACCACACAATAAGTTAGTCTGCGATTTAGATCATAGGAAACATTTTTTAAATGGTCTACTGAATTAACAAACCAATAAGCAAAAACCTTTACATCGGATAATCACACAACTTATCACCCAAACCAAGGCCCTTTTGAGCATGAAAAGGGGGCACTAGTAATTTTGCTGGGACCATCCAGGTGAACCAAGATAAACAGTTCCCTTCTTTCCCACTAAGAAAGCCAAACCCAATTACACATCTCTCCCCCGCCAACCACGACGACAAACCATCTGAAGGTGACCAGGACGTACTTGCACTTGCCAATGCCCAGCCTCCTCCGTGGACATAAACCACACTGCGTTTCAGTGGCTCTTCAGGCTTCGGAGGACCTTCAAACACTCTGACTTCTACACCATCGAAGTCCGTGTCCGTCACCTTCACTTGGGCAGAAGACCACGCGCTTTTTTTGCCAAAAGAAACGATGATAAAATTCAGCGCTAGCAGGTGATGGCTCAGTCCCAGGTAGTGGATCAGGTTGCTCTGCAGGACGAGGGACGGAATAAAGAGGGAGAGCACACGTCAACGTGGTGCCACCAGAGCCGCACTCGCCACCTGGGCGTCACCATTCCCACAAACAGCTACCACGGGAGGGCTCACGGAGCCCTTTCAATACAAAACCAATTGTATTTACCTTTTGCTTTTAGAGTTGGCAAAATATTTTCATACATGAGATCTCCTCAGGTATTCTCAGTCCCATTTTATGGAGAAAGCTTAGAAATTAACTATGCTCGCTCATTTCATTGAATAAGTGCTAATTTCTGGGACTCAAACCTAAGATTAGGTTTGAATTCCAGGATTCAGTATCTTTTTCTTTTGAGATGGAGTCTTGCTCTGTTGCCCAGGCTGGAGTGCAGTGGTGTGATCTCAGCTCACTCCAACGTCCACTTCCCAGGTTCAAGCACTTCTCCTGCCTCAGTCTCCCAAGCAGCTGGGATTACAGGCTTGCCCCCACTACACCCAGCTAATTCTGTATTTCTAGTAAAGATGGGGTTTCTCCATGTTGGTCAGGCTAGTCTCAAATTCCTGACCTCAAGTGATCCGCCCGCCTCAGCTTCCCAAAGTGCTGGGATTATAGGCGTGAGCCACCGTGCCACTCTTGATCTTTAAAAGTCTATATCTTTTGGAGAATCATTTAGGTGTGTTTGTTTTTTGTTCTTTTGAGATAGAGCCAACTTGGTCACCCAGGCTGGAATGCAGTGGCGTGATAATCTCAGCTCACTGCAACCTCTGCCTCCCAGATTCAAGTGATTCTTGTGCCTCAGCCTCCCAAGTAGCTGAGACTACAGGCATGCACCACCACGCCTGGCTAATTTTTGTATTTTTAGTAGAGACAGGGTTTTGTTGGCCAGGCTGGTTTCAAGCTCCTGGCCTCAAGTGATCCACCCGCCTCAGTCTCCCAAAATGCTGGGATTATAGGCGTGAGCCACTGAGTCTGGCCAAGAATCTTTTACAGAAAAGGCATTGATTTAGAAGATTACATGATGAATAAAAAGTTTCCTAGAATAGAAAGTGATATCCCAGGCTAGATGGTAGAAGAACGGAAGAGAAAATGTTGCAATGAAATGAGGGCTATATGGATAAATATCTGGGAGCCAATGAACAAAGAACCCTAGGATGTAATAACGCCCAGACAAGTCTATGGAATCTAAAGCAGCTGACGTGTGCCTCATGCCCAGAGAGAACCCTGGAAACAGGCAAAGACCTTAGGTGAGAGGAGGTGCAAGGTATGTCTACAAAGATGGTGCCTCAAACGGCCGTAGAGCCCCAGGCTCCAGCTGGTGAAGGAAAAACAGAATGATTCTGCATGCCTATTGAAAGCATAAATGTAGCAGGGTCTGCATGAATGTCTTGCAGATGGACCTAAGACAATCTGTCTTTTCTCTTCAGCCCATGATATGTACTCAAGAGTTCAAAAGGAATAGAAATGAGTGCCAATGAATCTGAAAGATCTATTATCTTACAGAGAAGAGCAAAGGGTATCCCAGGAAAACCAGTAAGGACCAAACACCAAGGATCAGGTGAGACAGTGACGTGGGCTGAGGATGAGTGACACCCAGACGGCTTCCCCAAACCGCAATGCCTCAGCACTGCATAAGATCCTCCAAAACCTAAAAGCAAATAGTGATGAGCGTGAATTCCTCCACTCACTGGGATTAAGTTGCTACCTAAAAGATCAAGGCTTAAAATATAGATCAAGTTATAGTTCATGTATCCTTGAGCTTATGAAAGAAGATTCAGATTCACTCAAGTAACATTCTGGAAGTAACAAAGTGTCCTGAAATCTCTACTTCTTTCTTATGTACGTATTTATTTATGAGACAGAGTCTCACTGTCACCCATGCTGGAAAGCAGTGGCATGATCTTGGCTCACTACACTCTTTGCCTCCCTGGTTGAAGTGAGTCTTCTGCCTTAGCCCCCTGGATAGCTGGGATTACAGGTGCTCACCACCACACCTGGCTAATTTTTGTATTTTTTTTTTTTTTTTTAGTAGAGACCTCGTTTCACCATGTTGGCCAGGCTGGCCTTGAACTCCTAACCTAAAGTGATCCACCCATCTTGGTCTCCAAGAGACAACAGAAGCAAGATAAGTTTTAAGGGCCCTACGGGCTGCAAATTCCTCCATCTTAGCTAGCTAAAGTAAGCTAGGGCAGTGCTAGAGGTCTTAAAATTTGCCTCCATAACCATTCCAGGATCTAGGGGGAGAATTCTGCCTAAGGAAATAGAAGGGGGTAAAGGGTTCTCATTCAACCTCAGTGGAACCAGATAAAGAAATCCGGTGCGACACTGGCTCCCTACCCAGGTCTGATGGCTGAAGATCAAAGGACAAGCAGGAATCAAAGGAAACCAAGCAGAAACTGTCCTCTGTTTATTAATATATAAATTAGTTATATGTATATATGGGTTGTTCTCTGTTGACTAAATCAACGTATAAATTATGAACTATATCCTATGGGCAGAGAACTTTGTAGGAGAGAAAGAGAATCATCTGAAACTTAGAGTAACAGAGGAGAACCAAGGCCTGCAAATGAACAGCCAATGTTAGCAGCTAAGCAGTAAGTGGTAAGAAAGGCCCAGGTAAAGGGCTGCACACGCTCGGAGAAGGGAGTCACCTCTGTCTGAGGATGAAATCCAGTCAGGTGTCCAGCCTGAATTAGGCCTTAATGAACGACAACGTCCCATCATAGGTGTGGCTAACAAGGAAAAGGGCTGGGAACTAAGGTGCAAGTATTGGCAAGTGTTTTAACTCGAACACCCATGGGCAGGTGAGGTATACAAGCAAAATGAAGGCAAGAGGAACTCAATCTAAAGGAGGCACATGCAGCCCAGAAGTCACCAGCATAGACTCCGGAGCCCTAGCGCCTGGGCTAAAATCCCAGCTCCCTCACTTGCCAGCACTGGGACTCTGAGCAAATGACCAAAGCTCTCTGTACCTCAGTCTCCCATCCATAAAATGGAAATCATCTTACCCACTACCTCAAAAGATTGTTGTGAAGACTGGAAACAAAAGCACCTCGAACAGTGCCTGTCACATAAGAAGGCCTATATTGGTCACTGATATTATGCCTCTGCTTCAGAAGATCATTGTGTAAAAACAGTGAGCCCAGCGACAGACATTCCGATGTCTCTAGGGAAGGTGAGACTATCGTTTTTCCTATGATGCACATTTGTTATTAGTACCACGACGATTATCAAGTCCTGAAATTGTTGCAAGTTAAAAAAGATGTACAAGAATGATCTTTAAAAAGCTTATTTGTATGTTCATCCTGAAGGGGAAGGAGGCAGCTGGGGAAGAACCAGCAGCACGCCGATAGCCCATACACAGCAATAACTTCGCCTCTGGTCACGTTTCAACATGAACCAGCAACATAAATACCTAAAGCACCGGTTCTAACTCACGACCTGATTCGTTCTTCATATTCAAAGGTTTGTATTCTGTGTCAGTGACTCTCCAATTTTTCCACTGTGGTCACTTCATTCAGTCCACCAGCTCTTTTTTGTTTTTTTTTTGAGATGGAGCGTCGCACTGTCACCTAGGCTGGCATGCACTGCTACCATCTTGGCTCACTGCAACCTCCACCTGCCGGGTTCACACGATTCTCCTGCCTCAGCCTCCCGAGTGCCTGGGATTATAGGCACACACCACCATGCCTAGTTAATTTTTTTTCTTTTTTTTTTTTAATAGAGATGGGGTTTCACTATGTTGGCCAGACTGGTTTCAAACTCCTGACCTTGTGATACACCCACCTCGGCCTCCCAAAGTGCTGGGATTGAGGTGTGAGCCACCGCACCTGGCCAGTCCATCAGCTTTTTAATTCTCTTCATATTCTGTTCTAATTATGCCTATTAGAGGAAAAAAATCTATAATCTCATGGAACATTTATCTGCATGAAAATATGTGAGAATTAAAATATTAAATTAATATTTAATGTTTGGCCAGATGTGGTGGTTCACGCCCGTAATCCCAGCACTCTGGGAGCCCAAGATGGGCAGATCATAAGGTCAGGAGTTTGAGACCAGTCTGACCAAAATGGTGAAACCCTGTCTCTACTAAAAATACAAAAATTAGCTGGGCGTGGTGGAGCATGCCTGTAATTCCAGTTACTCGGGAGGTTGAGGCAGGAGAATTGCTTGAACCTGGGAGGTGGAGGTTGCAGTGAGCCGAGATTATGCCACTACACTCCAGCCTGGGCAACAGAGTGAGGCTCCATCTAAAATACATATATTTTGTATGTATATATATATTTTTTAAATATGTATATTTTGTATGTTTCTATATATTTTATATATAGAAATTTTAAAATATATATATTTTGTATATATATTTTGTATATATATTTTTAAAAATATATATATATATTTTGTAATATATATTTTGGAAATATATATTTTTTAAAAATATATATTTTGTATATATATATTTTTTGAAAATATATATTTTTATATTTTTATATAAATATAAAATTTTATAAATATAAATATAAAAGTTTTATATTTTTATATAAATATATTTTTTAAATATATATTTTGTATATATATATTTTGTATATGTTTTTAAAATATATATATTTTGTATATATGTTTTTAAAATACACATTTTTGTGTATATATATATATAATTAATGTTGAATTAAGAGATGGACCTTAAAGTAGAGGTATGTAACCAAGCCTAGGAGAGAAAAAACAGAGGCTGTCCAAAGAGACCTGCGGGACACAGTACCAGCTGAGGTGAATTGAGTTTTAATGAAGGAAGATTCAGATTCACTCAACTGACATCCTGGATGTAACAAAGTTTCCTGAAACCTCTTTAGACGAAGCTGGGAAATCCCGGAACACACAGAATTGCGTTGAGGACCCTGTGGGCTGCAAATTACCCTGTCTTGGCTAGATGAAGTAATCTAGAACAGCTCTAGAAGTCCTAAAACTTGCCTCCATAACCATTCCAGGATCTGGGGGAAGAATTTTGCCTAAGGAGATGAAAGGGGAATAAGGGAACTTCTTACGCCTCCGTGGAACTGAACAGTAAAATCTGGTGGTGCACTGGCTCCCTGCGTGGATAGCTGGTTTGTGTCGAAACTTGACCAGATGCTAAGTTATTTATGTATGGGGTATTAGTGTGCTCCTGGTTCTTCCCCAGCTCTCTGCTTCCCCTTTGATACATGATCAGAAGGCTGGAGAAGGAGAGAAGGTTGGGGAAAAGCAACAGATTCTTCTAGTCCTGGGGTGGCGTTCACGCTTTCATCCTTTGCCCACCACCCTTACCTAGTGAGGACAGAAAGAGAACCTGCATGGCACCAAAGTCCCCTTTCCTATCCTCAACTAGAATGCAAGGTCGAAAACATACCTTCATGTGCTGAGGGCTGGATCTCTACTCCAACTCAACTCTGACCAAAAGACTGGGCTGATGGAGCACCATTTCTGGGACGACTTAGGCCACATGGTAAATTCCACCAGGGAGGGAAAGTTAATTTGCTCAGGTAAAGTTGAATAAAATTTTTCAAATGGAACCTTGGGAAACACATCACTTGAATAGCTGGTGGAACAGACAGAAGAACCAATCAATAAAAGACAAAATAGAGCAAGAGAGGGAGAGAGAAAAAGAGAAAAGGGACAAACTGTTAGTGTGGCAAGAAAAACAAGAAACTGGAGATATTAAAAGGGAAGCGATTTCCAGAAGGCAGTTTGCCAAATGTCTGCAGAGAGGCCGAGCAGGTCATGGATATTGGCTATGTGTTCACTGGTGAGCCTACTAAGGACAGTTTCATGCAGGATATGGGGATGAAAATCATATTGTAATGGGTTAGAGTGAGCAGGAGTCGAAGAAACAGACAGTAAATGAGACAGATTACTGTAGAGATAAGGGGGCACTAGAACAGCTGGGAGAGACTGGAGTGTGCTTCTTGGGAAACAGCTTGTCAAGAGAGAAAGATAAAGTTACAGAGGTAAAAAGAATTCAGTGCTGGGCGCGGTGGCCCACACCTGTAATCCCAGCACTTTGGGAGGCCAAGGCGGGTGGATAACAAGGTCAGGAGTTTGAGACCAGCCTAGCCAATATGGTGAAACCCCGTCTCTATAAAAATAATAATAATTTAAAAAATTAAAAAAAGAAAGAATTCAGTGAATGGAGACCCTCGAGGAAGGAGGACACAGGATCTGGAAAGCAGATGGAAGGGAGAGTTCATAACAGGTAAGTTTATAGGGGGCAAGGAAGCAAAGTGAGGAAATAGCTCTCAAAATAGAGCTGGATTTCTGTGGATGTCAACTCTGTCTTTGTCCTAAAGAAGACAGTGACTTTTCAAACACTGCCCTCTGGGAAGGTAACCCATTGCAATCTGGCTTCCAGCCCCACCTCTCTGATGAAACCAACCTTATTAGGCTCAGCAGTGACGCCCTGACTCCAGTGCCAACGCCAATGACCTACTTGGCCTCACTGCAGACATTTGACAACTTGTGCTGTTTTTACTGTTTTTTTAAACTTTCTTCCTCTTAACTTCTCCAGTTTCTTGGGTTCTTTTTTTTTTTTTTTTTTTTTTTTTTTTTTTTTTTTTTTTTTTTTTTTTTTTTTTTTTTTTTTTTTTT